GTGTGTGTGAGAGAGAGAGAGAGAGAGAGAGAGAGAGAGAGAGAGAGAGAGAGGTGTATCAGACAGAGAGAGAGAGAGAGATGTATGAGGAATGGGAAGGAAGAGTTAATCACAAGTGGAAAATACCTGTTTTCCAGAGGTGTATCCACTTCCTCTGCCTCCCAGGCGATCCTTTACCAGCGACCGGAGAGCACTTAAAGCGGCATCAACGATAGCATCACTCGTCCTGGACCCTGTGATGTACGAGAAAGGCAGAACGCTAAGCAACACAAATAGAACTGAATGAAGAGGCAAAGCAATGTCTGTCTACGTTTCTCAGCGACACACTCAACGGGTGCCCCGGAATCTTCCAACAAGAGGATGCAAAAAACTGTTCTAACTACTGCCCTGCTGTAGGTGGAAAACTCATAGTGGCCTCCAGGACTCAACTCATACTTAGAGGTGCTGGAGACGAGGTCTGGGAGCCGTTCATTTGAAAGATCGGCATGACCACATAGTGGAGATGGGGAGCTTCAGGCTGCCATCGGGCCCAACCGCTTCTCCCCCCAGGGCCCTCCCCAACTCCCCCAAAATAACATATCCTGTCTCTGATACAAGGCAGTAGGAGGCCTTATATCCCCGTGACAATCTCTTCTCACTGGTCACTTATCAGAGATACTGTACATCCCGTGTCCTTCCTCTACCATGCTGCATGCATATTTTGTAAAAAAAAATCACCACTGTTATCAATAGGAGCTTTTTAAGAACTTCATTTCAGCACTGAGGAAGTATTTTGGGACGGGAGATGTCACTGCCAGGCAGTAGGAGGCCTTATATCCCCGTGACAATCTCTTCTCACTGGTCACTTATCAGAGATACTGTACATCCCGTGTCCTTCCTCTACCATGCTGCATGCATATTTTGTAAAAAAAAATCACCACTGTTATCAATAGGAGCTTTTTAAGAACTTCATTTCAGCACTGAGGAAGTATTTTGGGACGGGAGATGTCACTGCCAGGGGTGGGGAGCTAATACTCCTCTACTCCAAATACTGCAAGCCTATCCCCCAGAAATCTCCCTCTCACATGACACCCTGGCTTCGAAAAACACACCCTCAGTGCCAATGGAAGCTTTTAAAAGTCATTCTGAATGCACAGATGGAGTCTGGGCAAACAGATTGGAGACCACATGCCAGCAATCATGGGGTGGTCCTGCCCACAGCTGGCATATGGCCTCTGCCATGCTTGTCTGGACTTAACCCAGCCTTCAGACTGACAAGGGTTCTTTACCCTGTCATACTCCCAGCAGCCGGATGTTGACACTGTAGCTCAGAAAACGATGAAGGCAGAGAACAGTGTATAGAACAGAGCCCTTTCCAATCAGTATTCTACAGTTCCAACTGGAGTAGACCTATTACATCAATTAACTGCATGTTACATTAGCATATATGTAAATTCTAATGTGTTAATAGGGCTACTCTAGTTAGGACTAGCAACAAGGTACCAGCTTTGACTTCCTCTTTCCAGCTCCAGGCAATGCACTGCTGAACAATACCTTGATAATCTTCTGCTTTGTTCTTATTGGCACCAAATATCTTGATTGTAGGAAATCCTTTGACACCATATTGACCCCCTAGCGACTGATGCTTATCTGCATCAACTGCCCCTATTTTGACAACACCCTGTAAGCAAGGACAACTTTCAAGTTAATTAGAACTAATGAATTTAAGGAACAAGCAAAATACATTAAAAAGTGGTGGGGGGAAAGGTTTCTGTAGGGGGTGTTTTGTTGAACATGTCAACTAATTTTTGCCCAAAGTGATGTAATATCTCAGGAAGACTACTCCCAAACACATTTTCAAAATGGCTACTTTGATTTGGCCTGGTAGCTGCCTGTAGCAAAGAACTATTTGTACTTCACAGGGAAAAATAGTTTCAGTTGGTTTCACAGGTGAACAAAGTCTATATCAGAGCAAATCATATGCAACTGTTCCAGCCAAACCACAAGACTCTTATGTGGCTCCAGTTAATGTACTAAACTGGTCACAAAGGGTCTTCCAAACAAACCCGATCTCTCTTCTGTTACCTATAGATTAAATGGCTAGTATGCCATTTCAAATGCTGTGCACATCGGTAAAGTTTCATTACAGCAATAACCAACTTATCTACAAAGCCATGTTCATGGAGAGTCCCAAATTCAACTCAACTGGTTTTGGCATGCTCTACTTTTCTACACATAGGCAAGTCCCTCTCTCAGCTCAGCCTCTCTCACGGCACTTGTAAGAATACAGATAAGTATATAGTGAAGTTAAGGCTGTAATCTAATTAGGGAAATCTTTCTTGACCTATCAGAACTCATAAAATTCATTTATCAATTCTTACAATTAACATGCTTTGTTATTGCAGTCTTTGTTAAAAAAAAGTAAAGAAAATGAATTTGTTTTCAGAAAGTCTTATTTCGTGATCTCAATGAAAATACCTTTCTCAGATGTGATGCCTAATTATGAACACATTTGCACATGGATAAATTTTACTTGTACCTTTTTAAACAGTGCACTCACATGTTGCAGTTACAGCAACTTTTCAGTTAATTATATGTTTTTTTAAAGTTGTGATTCAAGCACTAGTCAGTTAAATATGATAACCCTAAGCACATGAGATAAAGGTAAAGGTAAAGGT